AAATGCAAGCCACAGAGCAATTGAAAACACATAATAGAGCAAAAGTAAAATTTATACAACCTTCCAATAAAATTCAGTGAATTGTAGATGTCACAACATCCCAGAGGACCAACTGAAAAAGCATGTTATGATTAATGCAACACTGCATTTTAGATTTATTGTTATTTACTGCACCCTTCCCTAACCTGGTGCCCTCTGGATATATTGAACTATAATTTTTCTTTTCCAGAGGGAAGATATAGAAATGTTTTAAATAAATAAATGGCACTTCCAAGTAAACATGCTTATTACTGTAAAAAAACTTTAAAGAGCTGGTATACGCACTGTTGAAATTATATTCTATATAATAATATAAAACAATAAATGGCATGCTATATAATGTGAAGTACAAAAATACTATTTATATGAGGATTGAAAATAGCCATTTGCCTATTAATTTGTAACAAGTAGGAAACTAAGATCATGGCATCAGGTCCTATTACTTCCTGGCAAATAGATGGGGAAGAAATGGAGGTAGTGACAGATTTTATTTTCTTGGGCTCCAAGATCACTGCAGACAGTGACTGCAGCTTGCTCCTGGGGAGGAAAGCTATGGCAAATCTAGACAGCATACTAAAAAGCAGAGACTTCACCCTACCAACAAAAGTATGTCTAGTCAAGGCTATGGTTTTCCCAGTTGTAATGTATGGCTGTAAAAGCTGGACCAAAAGGAAGGCTGAGCGCCAAAGAATTGAGGCCTTTGACTCCTGAGTGTCCCTTGGACTGCAAAGTGATCAAACCAGTCAATCTTAAAGGAAATCAAAAGTGACTGCTCTTTAGAACGCCAGATACTGAAGATGAAACTCAAATACTTTAGCCACCTAATGAGAAGGAACAACTCACTGGAGAAGACCCTGATGCTGGGAAAAATTGATGGCAAAAGGAGAATGGGAAAGCAGAGGCTGAGGTGGCTAGATGGGGTCACGGGGGCAGTGGGTGTGGACTTGGGTGGACTGAGAGGGATTCTGGAAGACAGGAGAGCCTGGAAGAATGTTGTCCATGGGGTCATGATGGGTCAGGCACTTCTTTGCGACTAAACAAAACAAACAACAAAAACAAAGGATCTCCTACAGGGAACTAGGTAGAGAGACTTTAGAAAAGTGAGTTTTTGTTTCTTCTGCATCACAAATAGGCAGATGGGCAGTAAAAGGAGGAGGCTTTTGTGAACCTATCAATACTTATTTTAGTGGTAGTAACAGCCATCATTTTCACAGAATTGTTCCTGCATTCTCCTCTATTCTTAGCTTCTATAGCAACAAGCACATGTACCCTAGAACCTAGAGGAGCATGGAGATTGATTGCAACTAATTTGTAATATCTGAAATAGAATAAAATTATTTTTAAGGTTTTCACTATTTAGCAATAAGGACTCCAGCATTCCTAACAGAAAATCCATTCCAGTCGGGCTGGCATATAGTATTAATAAATTATATCTTGGCACAGAACTACTTAAGACACTTATAAGTAGGTGAAAAATGGAGCTTCACTAATATATTACTGCACTGAGTGGACTCTACATTCTTCTATGAACAGGATTTGAAATCACTTTGAGCCAAATCAGCTATCGTTATGATGAGTACTATCTGTTTCGCAAATAATCACAGTGATATTATTATATAAGTAACCCTACCAGGTATTATTTAATTCCATCATATGTTTATTTTTTTCCAGAACAACGCATTTCCATACTGTTGCAGCTTGTCCTCAAGAACTCCACTGCCCTTGCTTCAATTAAATAATGATCACAGTTATATAAATAAAGGTAGGTACTAGCACACTTGCTACATTTTAAGTAGCTTCTCTGCCTTTATGAAATCTTTGAAGGTATTGAATAACCTGTAGTGGCCACTTCAGCTAGAATACTGGGGGCAAGATGGTATGCCAGCTCACTAGACTGTGCTGTCGGTCTCTCCTCCCTAAAGGTCAGTATGATGCCCTATTTTCTATTAGTGTATGGCATATGGAGGAGGAACTAAGGCTGTTCTCATTTAATGTGGTACTTCCCTCCGGTTCCACCCTCCAATGGCATGTCTTTTGTGTGGCATCTGCAAAGGAGACCCTGCATGGCATGCACAGAGCACATGGCCTCTCGATCACATGGTAGCCTACATGTGCATAACTGAACATGCACAGCTGCCCCTTCAGATGTTGCATTAAATGCATGGACACTGGGGGTTGCAGATATGCAATGTTGGGGCAGAGCCAACAGGTACAGCCCCACATTTCCTCCCCCCATTTATAGTAAAGAGTGGGGACCCTGTGAAGAGACCTATGCTGTATATTTCTATTCAGACCCCACATTTTTTGCCCTATTTAGTACTTGCCTTATCTTTACCTTCTATTCTCAAGTGCATTTTCCTGCATTTTATCTTGCTTTCCACCCAGAGCCCACTCCTGTAAAGCATGAGTCCTCAAACTAGGGCCTCAAACTGGGGTGGTAAAAAATGGAATTCCTTTATTTCAGAGGGGACTATATGGTAACACAGAAGTTCTGCAAGGGAGGTAAGAATCCTTTTAATTCAACCAAATATAATCCTTTGTAGGAAAACTGATTACAATCTGGCTAGCTTGAAATACTCTTTGAACTTTTTAGTAGCTCAGATTGTACACAGCAAGTGCATTCTGAAGTAGAAGTAACATTAGAAGACGTAAAGGCATCCTAAGCACTATTAACCCAACAGCTGATTCAACTGAAGCCTGTAATAGAGTTTCTAATCACCTTAATATCAAAATTAGGCTTTCAGCAGATAGAAAACTTATGTTGCTTAATTGTTGAGCAACCGAGTCCAGCTGTGAGGGAGTTCCTTGGACATTCTTTAGGTTGCTTAGATTCCTTCTGAAAGGGTTTCGCATTCCAGCTTTTAACTGAGGCTGCTCTTGTTATAATTTGACTATCTTCCCAGTAGTTTGTACAGCATAGCATATCTTAGACCAGAAAATTTCATACTATTTCTAGAAAAAAGTCCCTACTTTCTTTTGGTGGTCATGGTAGGCATAATGTCTTGAACCACTCTTGGCAAAGAAGAACATGGATGTTTTAAGATACAAAACCTGCAAAAAATGATAGGGTGGCTTCATGCATGAGTTTAGGGTTTTGCAGATTCTTTTCTCCCAAAAAAGTTTAAGCAAGCCCATATTTCCCCCCAGCTTTAATTTTCAAATACTATTGGCTGACCTTACAAAAAGATATGCACATCTAATTTCTACACCACCCCACAGCCAAAGCTCTCTGGCTGTTTATAAAAATCTATTATATAGTGCAGGGATGAACCACTTATAGGCCAAAAGTTCTGGTAGGCTACATCTCCCATAAGCACTAGATAGCATAAACAATGATGAGGTCTGTAGGGTGTTGTAGGGCAAAACAGCTGGAGTGCAGAAACTGCCAATTCCTGTAATACTGCAGAAGCTAAATAAACCTTCAAAGAATGGCTAATTTTCCCAAAATGAATCAATAACGTATTTTAAAAAATCTTTCCTTACAAAGAAAACTATGAGTTATTGTTAGTGCTACAAAAGATTTGAATATTAGCACTAAAGGCAGACTTATTTATTTTCAAAGGGAAAAAGACTGGTTTTGTCCTGGTATGTTCCTGGTACAGCCTATGATCCTTTCCCTGGGAAGGGCACAAACTAACCTGCAGTTAGTCTGCAGTATCCTCCTGAAGCACTATTTTAAGTTAACATATAACAGATCGGTCTGTTACCATGCTTTATCTATTTTCCTGGGAATGAAAGAGTTCCACTGACAGAAGGTGGCACCATCTCATTTCAGGACATCACCCTCCCTGAGGCACCACAGGTCACTCCATTCAGCATGAACCGAGATCCTCTGTGTAGCATTTTCAGAGGGCTCAATGGGTCACCATGGGTAAGGCAGAGCAGGAAACTGTTTCCACCAGCCTAGTTTATGTCCTAATCTGAATACAACATCTAATCTTTTTCTTATTTTGGTTTAAACTGAAAAAGAGTTCTGTAAAAATCAAAGCTTCCTCACTGTTGCAGAGTTTTAGCTGACATCAATGCACTTCTTATGATAGTTTTTCTGATTTTTTTTCTGAAACACAGCTTGTCCATTAAAAAAATAATCTACTGTCAACCTGATTTTTTTTTTTTTGCTTACTATGGTTGTTGAAAAAGATGCAATGTTTCCAAAGCTAACACAATTTGTTTTGCATGTAAACTGTGTGATATTACACTTCAGGAATTTGCTGCATATACATTTGCTGTACAAGTTATGAACTCTGAAGTCCTAAACATGTGGGAGTTACTTCTGAGTAGACATGGATTGAATTGCTGCACCAGATTTGTTGCAGCTAACACAGATTAGAATTCCTACACCAGACTGAAGTATACATTAAATAGTGGGGAAAGAACACAACTGTTATTTGCATTTATAGACGAGATGCACAACCTCCAGCTCTCCAGATGCCATTGGACTCTATCTGCCATCAGCTCCAGCCAACATTGCCAACGTCAGAACCGTTAAGAATTCAACAAGTTTTCCAGTTTTCGGGAGGGGGTAGTAAAAATAATCAAGGAAACCCTAAAACAAACAAACCCACCAAAACAAAACAAAACCCCAAAGCAAATTTAAATCCACATCAAGTTTATTGAAATAACTCCCCCCGCGCCCCACTTTTCTGACTCTTGACATAATCCTGTGGTTCTAAATGGTGTTCAAGCGGAGATGGAGAGCCCCACTGAATTCAGTGAGGCTTGCCCTCAAGTAAGGGGAAAATGGGATTGCAGCGGTTAACAGCTAATGTTAAGGAAGAGCTAGTAAGGAAGGGGGAAGCAACTAATTCACATTGTACCATCCTTTTTGCAGGACCTTAAGCCAGGAGCTCCTCTAAGGAACAGAGTCTGTCGACTTGCTGCCTCCTCTCCAAAAGGGATAAAAACGCTTCCCATCCCGCCAGTTTAAGGGGGAAGAGGTGAAACTACCAGCCCGCTCCTAAAGGTGGGAAAACGTACGACATATCCGTTCAGATGCAGACAGTGGTGGATAACGGGGAATCGCCCCGAGCCAAATACAGTGCAGTGCGGCCCTTTCGCTCTCCGGCTCCTTCGAGCTCCAGCCGTTGTTTCCGAAAGGGCTCTTCTCACTGAGGGACGCCGCTGAGAAGAGGCCCAAGCGCTCCGAGGCTTTCTCTTGAGTAGCGAATGAGGCTCCTCTACTGACAGTCGGGGGGCTCGAAGATATGGAGCTACCCAAGGTGAGCCTTTCCAAAGCTGTAAGTAGAGGCCTTTGCTGCGAAACAGAGGGAGCGCGAGCGGGGAAGGAGGGGAGGAAGTGCAGGGCTGAGACGGTATGTATAGTTCTCCGTGCTTCCGGCAGAGAAGGGCTGGGACGTTGCTGGGGGGAAGGGGGGGCTTGAGCGGATGCGCTTTTCCTATTTCTTTTAGAATAAAAATACATCCTGGAAGAATGGGGGCGGGCATCCAGCCCGTAAGGCCAGCTAACAAGTACAACCTGTGTACGTGTTTACACTTGCCTCATTCAAAGTTCGATTGAAGTGCTGTGAGCACGAAATACGAATGCATTTAAAAATTAATTCGAGTGTAAAATCTGCGATGGTTGGAGTTAGAACTGTGTGTGCTATAATGGATAGCGTGTCATACTTGGGCCATGGGGCCTTCGGGAGGTTCAAAGCCATTATGTGGATGAAACTCGCTGGAGGACTAGGTCAGACGGTATTTCTTATCGTAGTCAACTCCGTGGGATTGTTGTGTACTGCAATTTATGGTCCTGTGAAGGTCTTGCAGGAAGGGCAGGATGCACATAGAATAAATGCACTTTTGATTTTCAGATGGCACTGATGTACTTCATATTCAACCTTAGCAAAGCCCCCACCTGCATCAAAAGGCACATTTAAGGCCCCAGGTATTTGCATGTTTACACCGAAAAAAGTCAACACCCAGCGTAACTGGTTGGGGAATGCTGCTGTTAACATACAGAGGTTTGTTCCCTCAGTGTTGTGCTTCATCAGCCTTATTAGTCAGGTCAGCCTTATTAGTCAGGTGAACTAACATTGATACTGTGGGGGTTGGGACATGTATGTAAATTCTACCCCACTACCTATGGGCATGTAGATCTTTGTCAGACAACATGCAAAGGTGTGAAAAGGATTTTAATGTGCGTTCTTCTGAATGTTTTTAGAAGCCTCTGTGTGACTGGGAACCCAGTCTTACTGGAAATGCACTTAGAACATGCCTTTCAGACTCTTATGTGTAGTATGCAGAGATCTGAGGAGGAGCCTGATCCACCCAGGAGGGATATTATTATTATTATTATTATTATTATTACATTTCTATGCCGCCCCTTGCCAAAGCCTCGGGGCGGCTTACAACACAATAAAATACATTGAAATAACATAATAATTGGCAGTATGGCTTGCATGTATATGCCCTCTATACATGTATGGTCCATCCCATGTGCAGGTGAATACCTAAATCAGGCTACCAACAGTGGTATGCATGATAATTGCTGCCAATTAAATGATCAGTTTACAATTAAACATTTACACATGATCTTGTGTGTACTCCATTTTAATCCAAATACCTAATTTTCCTTCGTTCCATCTCCATAATCACCACTGCAGATTAGAATTCTAAATTCAGCCACATAAAAGGTGGAAAAATGCTCTTCTTTTGCCATAGTTGTTAACTAGTCTAGCTGCATAATAGGGCAAACTGGAGAATATTAAAGGCTAATCAGTCTGTGTGTTCTGTTGCAGAAATGTCCCAGTCTCCTAATATTTTATTAGCTTTGTATTAATATACCATAGAAAACATGCAGTGATGAGAATCTACTCGAAACTACAAGAGAAAGTACTTTATCAACAAAGCTGTGAATAACAACAGGGAAATAAACTTGTGATTGGTGGAGGCTGGAAAACTTGAGTAGAAAGAAATGTCCATGTTCTGCAGGTTGCAAGTACCCCCAGAGTTAATAAAGTGTTGTGAGAATGCTACACAAGAAAGAGTGCCTGTTCTAGTTACTCTGGTACTGCCCTTGAATTCCCTGTTCTTTCGTGTACAGTAATGTTTCCACATTGGGTTTCTGCAGTCAATCACAAATGTAGGTGAGAATTCCCTTTTCACTCATATACTTGCCTTGAAAGTTAAGGGGAAATATGTACCTGTTTACAACTGTTTGATCATTCCATAGCATTTTCTAAATCAGTTGTATCATTTACAAAATGGTGACATATTGTCAGGGGAAAATATGGTTATCTTTCTCATAAACAAACTGAGGCTTTATGCTAGACTGTGTGTAAGGAAGAAATGTTATGCAACCTTTAAAAGAACTTCCTGCTTAATAACACGCGCTGGTGACTTCCCACCTAGACTTCTGTAACGCGCTTTACGTGGGGCTTCCCCTGAAGACAGTCCGAACACTTCAATTGGTGCAAAATAGAGCTGCCAGGCTGCTGACGGGG